AGGGACCTGGGGTTGTTTAGCCTGCAAAAGAGGAGGCTGAGGGGAAACTCCCTGACAGGAGGCTGGAGTGAGGTGGGGGCTGGTCTCTTCTCCCAGGCAACCAGTGATAGGACCAGAGGAGATGGGTTTAAGTTGCACCAGGGGAGGTTTTGATTGAATGTTAGGAAGAATTTCCTTCCTGGCAGAGTGGTGAGGCCTTGGCCCAGGCTGCTCAGGGAGGTGCTGGAGTCCCCAGCCCTGGAGGGGTTCAAAAAACATGTGGACGTGGTAGCTCAGGACGTACTTTAGTGGTTGTGGTAGTGTTGGGTTGAAGGATTTGATGATCTTAGAGGCCTTTTCCAACCTTAATGATTCTATGATTCCTTAGTGTCCCAGCAGACCCAGGACACCTGCTAAAACACCAGAAACCACCTTCTAGAAATCAAATAACAGACCATGAAAATTAGGCAGGCATAAAGCACGACCTAAATCTAACTGTCATTCTTCTGCTCCTAGCTCTAGCAACTTTACTGCTTCTCAGGCCAAGTCCCACCCAGCTCATGCTCTGACCTGCAGAATTTAGGGCTGCTGGTCTGATGCCACCACGTGGTGAAGTTCTGTACTTCCATCTTTAATTACCGTATTTTTAATTACCTGTACAATAATGCAACTCCAACAGCTGACCTTATTTAGCAGGAACCTTTTATTCTTACTGGTTTTCCTACAAGGTTTTACTTATGCATTCAGAAAGGAAGAGAAATGCTTGTTTACCACATCCAACTCATCTGGAAAAACTCTCAGATCTCAACGCAGGGCACACAAAATTAGAAGAAGCCAAGCCTGTTCTCAGTCCACTGAAGATGGCTACCAGGGGCTTCATCTCCACTGATATTATTATTTTAAGTAGAGAATCACAAACTCTAAAGAGCTAAAAACTGTTCTAAAAGACAGTGGAGTTTGGACCCTGGCTTCCAGAAGACAACTTACTGGTTGGGATGGAGTGTTTGTGTTTGCACAGCAGGTACCTGGCAGTCCCACACTCCTGGCCACTCCCCAGAAGGGTGGGTTCCCTTTGGCTCACCCCAAGTGAACAAAAGCACCTTGACTCATACTTAAATTCTCCTCCCAGTCACAGTTCACACACAAGTAGCTTTAATAAACCCCAAACAACAGAATGAAATCAAACCACCACCACCAACAACAAAAAATCCACTCTGCTACATTCACCTGCTGTCACAAATAAAATTAACCTAGTGATTAATTTGTCCTCCAATGTTTATATGGGAGGCTGGCAATGGTTCAGCTGAAACAGAACCAATTGTGAAAAGCAAAGCAGAACTAAGGTAGGACTGTCAGACAAGGCACTGTTCTACCAGAATTATCAGAAACTGCTGTAACTTTAAGGATTACTGCAGAGTTAGCATGCTAATCCAAAGGACAAGTGTTTGAAAGAGAGAGCTAAGACACACTCACTGAAAGGGAGTGAGTACTGAAGAGTTTGAGTGAACAGTGACACTGCCACTGCTGAGCACTGATTTTCAAGACTGCAGAGAACAGAGGCAGACAGATAGCACCAAGGTTGCTCAATTTCTTATACACAGAACCGTGACTCTGCTTCTTGCTGTCCAAACTGTGCATTTTGCCACCTGTTTTCCCATCCACAATATATTTAAAAAACCAAGAGCCTTTACCAGTACTGCCTGTGTTAGCTCAAGATGTTCTAAATCTGCAGTTTGTAGAAAGAACTGGGGCAAAACATCCACAATCAAACAACTCGGATTCCAACGTTTGCTGTCCAAAATTTCCCCTAATGAAGGGAAAATATTCACAAACAGCCAAGTTATTTGTAAGATGAAATCTTAACATAGATGGCTTTCCAAGGGGGAGTTTGGAAATATTAGCTAAAATAACAAGTTTAAGCATCAATCTTTCCAAGAATATTTGGGGCTGGGGAGTGGAATAAACCCTTCAAGGCTTCAGTTGGGGAACAGAACTAAGTCTTTAGAAAACCAAATTTCACTGACCTTTTTCCTGCTTCTTTTGTTCGAGTTTATTTTTCTTAGCTTGCAGTTTCTTCTCTTTTAACTTCTGGCTATAAAGCAAAGCAAAAAAGGCTCTTGCAAGTCCAACACTGTAAAGCTTCTGCACATTCATACACTGATAAAGGAGCTATTACAGACAGCTTGGAAAAGCAGACTTCAGAAGAGAAGCTCAAAAAATCTGGCCTCAGCTGAACACGCAGCCAGAGCAAACTCAGACACATGATCAATAGATAGTTTTTTTTAATGTTGTTTTTAGTCTAATAGATTTTTTTTTAAAGTCTGCCATGAGGCCACTGCACATGACACCAAAACTATATGAGATGCAAATGTCTTCAAGAACACAAAAGGAACAAAATGAAACTGCTCCCACATTTTAGCTACCTAGACTAATAAATAAAAAGAGAAAATGGTGTCAAGACCCAGGCTGCTGGACCTAAACACTGGGCAAAAGTAATGTCATCACCAGTAATATATTCTAATTGAAAAAATATATTTCCAGTATGCTTTGACCTTTGCCTTTGGCTGTACTTCATCAATACTCTGGGCCCCTGGAGTAACATCAGGAATGAGAGGGAATTTCAGTTCACACACCCCAGTTCTGTTTGCCCTGTGAAGGTAACTGGGCAACCTAACAGCAGACCCAGAGCAGAGCAACCTGTGACTCATGGTCCTCTCTCAACACCATAAACGAATTCTCTTGAAACAGAGCACTGAGTATGGCACCTGCTAGGTCAGGACAGAAGAGAAAGGGTGGTGAGGGAAGTCAGAGGGGCTCCTGCAGGGCCAGGCTGCTCAGTACCTCCACCATCCGCATACAGAAGGGGACAAGGAGATGTTAAGACTGCTGAGGCAGTGTTTGCTGATTGAGCAGTTGTTCATCTCAGCCAGGGAAAAGGCAGCAGGCCAGATCTGACTTGCCAGCCATCTGTTGGACCACACTAAATTAAAGTGAGATGGCAACAGTGTTTGTGTTGTGCACTTTTGTGGCCAGTGAGTCACTTGGCACAGGCCTTTCAGCAGCAGCTTTCAGCTACAAGATGTAAACCCCTCATTCTCAGAGAAGCAAGAGGGAGGCTGCTCAGGGTCAGACCCCCTGAAGGAGCCAAGCTCTGATACTCTGGAAGTACTCAAAAGATGTGTACATGTTGCACTGAGGGACATGGATTAGTGGGAACCTGGCAGTGCTGGGGGAATGGTTGGACTTGATGATACTAAAGGTCTCTTCCAACCAAAACAATTCTACATATGATTCTGTAAGGTATGGTGGACAGAAACTGTGCCATTTAAATCCTTGCATCATTGCATTATGATGTTCAGACTATTTCTTGAGAGCATCAATCTTGTAACTGTTTCACTTTGTCTAAAACTCAAGAGAAGAGTGGATTTAATATTTTTAAATTTCTCCTTCTCTCTTACCAGCCTTGAGCTGCCAGACCTTTCAATGAGGTGTGTAGAAATGGCTACTGATTTTAACACCACCAGACCTGTCAGTGGCCTGTTCAGCATTCAGAGTGAATGGGTCTGGTCACACTGACAGCACACAGAGGACAGCAGCAGGCCCCACCACGCCCTGCCAGTCTGAATCCATACACAGACCCACTAAGCTGCACCCATTTTCGCAGGGGAGCTGCTCAGTGTCAGCTGTTTCAGGTACTTATTTAAGCCAGATGTAGACACAAACCTTTCCTGGCATTGTTATAACAAACATGCACTAAGGCACCTCTCACTCAAAGCCACAGCATCAGCAAAAGCTGCTCAACCAGTCAAAAATTCTCCTGCTAGCCATGACACAGAAAACAAACTGGGCCAGCAAAGCCTGTCAAGTTGATAGCCACCTTTAAAAACCAAACAATGACATTAACAAAATTAATTTCCACAGCCAGACTTCTCATCCAAAGGACAGAGCTGCAGCTGAGGCCCTGGGCAGGGGGGTTTCCAGGCCAAGCCCCCCGGGAACAGCCCTTACCGCTTCCTTCGGCGCTTTGCCGTCTGTTCTTCCGCAACCAGCTTGTTCCTCTCCAGCTTCTTCTGGAACTCCTCATCTAGTCTTTGCTGTAATTGATCACGTCATACTTTGGTCACAATCTGACTTAAAATAGTCCTTTTAAAAGTCATGTCCTTTTAGGAAAAAGCCTTTTAGCAAAAGAAGGGAGATTGGCCAGATTTTTACCTGGCTGCTTCATACCTAGGGGGGACTTCTCTACAGGCAGCGTTTTTAACCTGCAGCCTGAGCCAAACATTGAAGCCTTTAGAGGAAGGAATCCTCACCAAAACAGACAAGGGAGGTTGGGCTTGTGCCCTAAAGAATGTTTCAGTAAAAACAAGAGAATAATTTGAGACACAAACCTCAGCCTATGGATGAAATAACTGACCTTGGCCAGGAGAGAGCATAACACCAGTGCTCTCTGAAAGAGGTGCTGTTCTGCCTGACCAAGGCTTCGGATATCCAGACTCTGCACAGGCACTTGTTTGATTCTGTCTGTGCAGGTCAAGGATATTAAGGATTTCTAGTTTTTAAAGCATTTTCAAACCAACCTGAGAACAGATATTCACGTGAAGTCATACTCTGTGCTAGGACCCCGGTGAACAGGGTCCCACGTACCCCACACCCCTGTCATTTTCCTCTGATAAGGAGTGGTTCAAAACTGAATTATTTGTGCAACGAGCATCAGATAGTCAGGGTAACAAAATTACTAAGGCCTGCTGACCTTCTCAGCCATGGCATCCATGAAGTCTTGCCTCTGGTACTCCCGCCGGCGCAGGTGCCGGTACACGTGGAACTCGCCGCTCCCGGCTCCAGCGCTGGAGCCTGCAGGAGAGAAACGTCAGTCTAAGAGAAAACAGCCTGCAGTAGGTGCTCACAAATGCCACAGCTAGAGGGACAGCACACACAAAAGGGCACTGTGAGATGAAAATCTATTAACCACGTACAGCGAGCGTCACCTTTTATAGAAGTTCAAATAATTCATCATCAAAACCCAAAGCGAGCTACAAAACCGCACACTTAATGGATCACTGCAGCTTCTGCTGGCCCATGACTCCCCTGGGGAGAATCCAACCTTAGCTAGACACTAGGGTGGTAAAAAACGCTAGAAATACAAGGTACACCCCACTCTCTTCTAGGCTAAAACATCCTACTGAGGCTGCTTCTGACCAATTTTTAGCATCTCACACAAAAAATAAAGGTCACCAGCGAGGTGATAAAGTCTATCATATTGTACTTCACCAGGCAAGACAGAGACCAGAAGCTTTGAGTTTTTTTTCATAAACAAAATCCCTACAGTGCTCTCTTCCTGGCATCAGTCTGCACATTGAAGTCTCACAGGAGCTTTCAACATGGTGCTCTGTTGCCTTCCTCTGTCTCCTGAGCCATTTCCCAAGGCCAAGCACACAAATACAGGTCTCAAAGAAGACACCTCGTAATTAACACATGGCAGCTGGTGCCTCAGTAAGGGTGCTCTTGATACCAACAGGATCCCAGCACGTCAGGTGCTACCAGAAAAATGAGACAGTTCAACTCAAGCACACAGCAAAGCTATTTGAAAAAGCCATGAGAGAATTACAGTAAGCAGAAAAGTTTCTTCAGAAGTGTGTAAAAGATTTAGTCCAAGGTAATTATTCTGAAATAAGAGCAAGTCAGCCTCTAGAGAGGATCATTACTAAGGATGAAGGTCCCAAAGACAGGCAGAACTTCTATATGCAGATAAAATTTAAACCACAGCTACTACATCTAATCCCTGCAGGTAAAAGTAAAGTGTAAGCAGGATACAAGGTCGGGTTCCTTGCAGAGCTGCCAGCTCCCTCCCTGACCACACACAACCACCTCTGCTGCACGTGTCTGCTTCCCACAGCCTGGGATTCAGGCTCACAGAGGTCAAAACAAAACTTCACCCTTATAAATCTCCAGAACATCTCAGATCTGTGGAAAGGACAGATGCACTCATCGCTGTCTCCCTGGCATCACCAGAGCAGTGGCTTATTTCACTGCACACCATCCACGTGCTGGAGTGCCACAGGGGCTGTTCACTTTGCATTCTGACAGCAGGCAGAGAGGAGGAACCCCACAACCAAAAAAAGCAACTCTCAAAGCCTATTTCATACCTCTGTTTTCCAGAAAAACAAGCAACAACAGAACACTATCTCTGGCCTTTTCTGTTCAATGCTTTTCTAAGTTTAACGTGGCTGACCCTAGAGTTATCTAAGAATAGGATCTTTACCCATCACATCTCTGACGAACTCCGGGGGAGGCCGTGGTGCCCATTCATTCAGTTTTTCAGGAATTGGTACAGTCTTTTCCTGCAAGAAGAAGCCAACCGGTCATCAGTGTCTTCTAGGAGCAAAGTCTGCAGTTTAACACACTGTGGAAAGGCTGACCACAGCCTCTTCCACCAGCAGACAGACGTCAGAAGGAGCACAGCAATAGCTTCTTCATGCATATGGATCAGAAGCAGGAAGAAAATGGCATCAGAAAGTCTCCTCTCTTGCCCTCACATGCAGGCCTGCAGGTCAACAAGCCCCAGGAGGATTAAGAGTGCCTGTGCTTCTTTTCAGTATGGGAACTAGAAGGAAGCAAACCAGCACCTCCAAGCACTTGCAGAAACCAAGTGCACTCCCACTCCCTGTACTCTGGGAAGCAATGAAGAGCATCTGTGCACCTTCCACGCCAGCTCCAGGAAGGACAGGGAAGAGCAGGGAAGGGAGAACACGTGGTGCAAGGTCAGAGGAAGAACACAGTGCACGGGAAGTCTCAGCCTCCTCCAGCACACACGGAGGGAGGGGGAGAAATCTCCAGCTGTCAAACATCTCCTTAGGACAAGGATCAAAACACCCCGTGAGAGGAGACAGGGTCATGCTCCCCCCCTAAAAGCGACAGGCAGAGCTCAGAGCAGCAGGCAGAGCGCTGAGGGGCCATTTCTGCCCAGGACCCCAGAGAGAGGTCTGTCCCCACACAGCACCCGGGACACGCCGGTCCCTCCCCCAAGCCGGTGTGTGCAGGGAGGGGTTCAGCCCCCAGGGCTGGGGGGGAGTGGTGTCGGTCGGTGTCCCCTCATGGGGCAGGGGAGGAGGAAAGGGGCAGTTGGTCCCACTCCCCTCCCGGACCAGGGGGGAAAGGGAGTGGGGGGTCGGTCCCTCTCCCCTCACAGAACCATGGAAGAGGATCGGTCCCTCTCCCCTCACAGACCTGGGCAGGGATAGAAGGGTTCGGTGCCGCTCTCCTCCAGGACCCGGGAAGAAGGACGAGGGGGAGTCGGGCCCTCTCCTCTCACAGAACCGAGGAGGAGGCGGAAGGGGGGGGGTTGGTCGCTCTCCGCCCCGGATCCCGGGTGGGGAGGATCAGTCCGTCCCCCCTCACAGAGCCCGGGGGGCGTGTGTGGGTGTCGGTCCCTCTCCCCTTCCAGACCCCGGAGTGGGGGTGTGTGTGATATCGGTCTCCCTTTCCTTCTCCTCTTCTTCTTCTCCCCTCCCTTTCCTCCCCTTCTCCTCTCCCCTTCCTCCTCCTCCTTTTCTTCTCCTTC